GAGAGAGAGAGAGAGAGAGAGAGAGAGAGAGAGTTAGAGAGAGTTAAAGAGAAAAAGATAGAGAGAAAGAGGAGCGGTATGGAAAAAGAGAGAGTGTAAAAAGAGTGAGAGAGACGCAGAGAGAGTGTGAAAGAGGAAGAGAGTGTTTGTATGTGAGTGTGTCTGAGAGAGAGACAGAGACAGAGAGAAATACAGAGCGAGAGAGAGAGTTGGAAAGAGAGAGAAAGAGAGAGAGAGAGAGAGAGAGAGAGAGAGAGAGAGTCGTATTATTTCATCACTGGCTGTAGCCCGTGTTTTGCTAAGGCCACAGCTGATTCAATCTCCCTTGTTGTCTGTCGTCTCGACGCCATCTCGAAACTACCCAATTGTAGGTTTAAAACCTCGCGTCTTTCCTCTACAGTCTCTTCAGTTGCTACTGCCGTTGTTGCTATTGCTGTTGCTGTAGCTTTTGGCAAAGCTATTGCTTTTGCTGTAGCTGTTGCTGTTACTATTGGACACGTCATCCGAGACGGACGCAGGCAGGTTTCCCTCAGAGCGTGACCACATCTTGTTGAGAGCGCCTTTGATAAAATCGTTGTTCAGTCCGACGATAATACGTCCTTCTGTTGTTCGCCGTCGGATGATCGGAGACGGAACGTTCAGACACGACGTAATGTTATAAGAGGAGGACGTCTTTCTAACGGCTCCTTCGAATGTTCTAGAATTCGCCGTTTTCTGAGAAGACGCTAACGAATCGGGATAAACAGAGAACGGAGGCTGGTGGTGCTTGTTGTGCGTTTTCTGTGAGGATTTTGGAGCGTCACATGTCTCTATAGTGATGGCGGGGAAGACGCTGGACGAGGGGAGGTTCGAACCCGGACCAGTCTGTTGGTAGGCAGGGGTAGCTACACGTCGGGAGAGTCGCCTGGGGGTGTTCAGAACAGGTTCAAGGTCGAAGGTGGTTTCCGTGGGCACAGGGGAGTAGATGTCCCTGTAGGTTTAAGAGAAAGAAACAATAAAATACGTACACTTTGACCCATTCACTCTTTAAGGACGTAGGGGACACATTATGTGCGATCGGCAGCATACCAAAGACAATGGATGATGCTGCAAATTTCGAAATAAAAGATCGTACACAAATAAAAATACAAACATGAATGATGTATTACTATTTTAATACCTACTTTTTCAAGTTTCATTTTGAAAACTCGATTTGATCTTACAAAAATTGGATGTGTGTATGTTGTTGCCAGCTTTCTTCAGGTTTTTCAAGCTCTAATAATCAGTGTGAATAATGAAGTGACCCAGGACAGTGCGTCTTTATTAAACGTTGTTGAATCGATCAGAATGCTTGTCCTCAATGCATCGACTCTTTGACACTGAAAGTCATGCTGTAACGTTACCCAACCTCACTTCTCACAGTTTTCAAAGGAAAACTGGTCTCGAGTGATTCACGGCATGTTTTTCCACAGTAACTGACGGGACATTTAGACTATGCTTTCTTACAATGATAACACTGTAATTTAATAGCAATCAATTTAAATGACCAGAACATTTGAAAGGCACATTAGGAATCATATACTGACGAGCAAAAGAAAGTGGGCACCCTACGTTCTTTCAATTATCCCGTTCTTTACCGTAGTAATTCCGTATTGCAAATGGATTTTGAAAGGCTTGCCATTTTTTCAACAAGTGCAGACAAAAAAAAGTAAGAAAAACAACCAAAAGCACACCTTCTATTAGAAATTGATAACACCGATTTGAATGCCCAAAATCCCAGAATTAGTAACGGGTGTATCTCCCACCAGCATTGATGACTACAATACATCTCCGCTTAATGGATTGCACATGTCGCTGGATAAATTGCTGGGGAATATTATTTCGAGCATCTATTAATGATTGCTGCAGTTGTGGGATTGTTGTTGGAGTGGCCACAGGGTGCAAATTTTCTTGTCTATCTTTTCCCAGAGGTGCTCCTTCACGTTTAAATCGGGGGATAAAACTGGCAACGGTGTTATAACACGTACGTCATTTTTGTTGTAAGAATCTCTGGGTAACAAAGGCACCGTGTGCTGGTGCAATGTCCTGCTGGAACACAAGATTGTTCCTGTGGCGAGCCAGAAACGGTAGAAGGTGTGGATGGAGCACGTCATTGGTGTATCTCTGTGCAGTTAGATTACCGTCGATAATAACTAGATCGAATGTATCAATACTGGTTATGGATTTCCATACCATAATGCTACGTTTGTCAGCAACAGCACTGAAACACTGAGGTAAATTAATAACGTTCATGACGTGTCTGGTAGACTTTCTCCCTTCCTTCGTGCCGATCCAAAAGAAATCTGGACTCGTCAGAAAATATCACTCTGTTCCACTAGCGGTTATGCCATCGCCGGCGCAGACTTGCCCAATTGAGTCTGGCATGACGGTGTCTTTGGAGGAGACGAGTGCGTCGAGCTGGGTGTCGGGCAACGATTTCGTGGGCTTTCAAGCGTCGACGAACGGTGAAGCGGTTGATTGGTCTAAGCCCAGGCCAATCTCTGACAGTTTTAGAAGCTGTTTGAAACCGATCCCGCAAGTGTGGAACTCTGATCCGATTGTCTTCAACAACAGTAGTGACACGAGGACGACCAGACCTTGGAGTGTCACTAACCGAACCACATGCTTTGAAGTATATCCTTAGCTTTTGGATAGTATCTCTCGTCACATTGAAAGCTCCAGCGAGAGCGGAGACCGTCACATTAGCTCTCAGCATGCCAAGAGCTTCATGACGTTTAGCATAACTGAGACTAGGCATCGTATAAAACAAAATTGAAAAGAACAAACCCAAAAATTGTGACGGCCTTTTCTCTAACACACGTTGAAGTGTGTAACGAATAAAGAATAAATGTAAAGGCATTGTTAACTTTCAATAAAAAACGAGAAAACACGTCTTTGGCCAAACATGTTGTAAACACTTTTTATAACAACAAAATAAACAAATGTTGTTCTGACCGACTTTCTAAAGTGACTTAAGCTCAGCATGCCAATCGCCATGTCAAAATGTGCGAGACTACTCCTACAGCACCGATTTGAAAACTGCCCACTTTCTTTGGCTCGCCAGTATATTAAATGTAGTCATTTGAAAAGAAAAAAGTCATGTTTGCTAATGCTGTGACGTGATTAATTTCAGTAACTGACAAGACAGAAAAAATACCGGCATACAATTAATTGATCGTTCCAGCTTGAAAAAAGAAATTAGGCAATCAACACATATCAACAACATAAATACAAAAGAAAACTCCAAAATGTAAACCCTAACTTTTTAAAAAGAAATGGACAATGATACTCTTAATCATAACAATGTTAAAAATACACCAAACGTGTCTCTCATGTACATGTAAACAAGTTATCAAACTAAGATAAATACATACTAAATTAAGAAAATATTATTTCGATAACTAAAATAGTTCAATGAATGGGATTTTTTTGGAGCCAAGATACTTTTCCCTGATTCGAACTTATTGATCATTTAATGTCTAATACATTGTATTTCGTTTAACTTTCAGAAAAACATGAGCACACAAAATGCGTTCACCAAGGCTGTAACATAGAAAACGCTTTATGGGATTAATAAAATCGAGGCAGCCAGAGCTATTTATAGACTTTGGGTATCCATGATTGTGCCCTGCAGTCTCTATAATGTGTCAACATGACACACTGAGAAACATCGCAATAGTCTGTTTACTTTCTCGTGCCAATATTTGCACTGCTATAGCTCAATTATCGCCACACTAGATGCACTGAGCTTTCGCACACTGGTCTGAAACGCTAATGACCTTCAGGAATGTGTTCTTTGCCCTGTGAAAATGGAACACGGTACTGATTTCATCTCGTTATTTATTGCCAGAGACGACCTTGCTTGAATGGGCACTCTTTAGAATGGTTTACACTACCGAGGTCACTGCATTTAAACAACACTGAAAATTCACATTTTCTCTATATTGCACGCCTTTTCCGTGCTCTGAACCTTCCCTGAATTGAGCTAAATGTTAATGGATCAATGTTTTTGTTTCTGCAAAATCTAATTTCCATGTATGATATTTCAAAACAGTCAAAGGAAGTAATTGCCTTGAAAGAACTGCTTAATGTGCAGATTAAAAGACATGAAAATCTTAAGGTCTGTCAAATATATATACTATGGCTGTATTTATCAAGCAGAAAAAAACAAAAGAGTTTTTTTCTTCTTTTTTGCAAGCAACTGTGGACAAGAGAAAAATGGATGTATTGTATTCGTTCTATTTAACTCACGTTAGTTTTTTATTTTTGGTTGTTGGTTGGGTTTTTTTGTGTATTACCGGGAGAACACTACCAGTCGAATTCTTTGATTTTGTCCCGGCCATCTGAATGTTTCTTCTTGACGTGGTAAAAGGTGCCTTTTTGGCACTAACCTACCAAATTCGATTAAATTCAACACCCCCCCAAACACACACACACACACACACACACACACCCACACACACACACACACACACACACACACACACACACACACACACACACACGCACACACACACACACACACACACACCTTTGTTTTTCAAGGCCTTTGGGAGTTGAATCGGTAGCATTGGCTAGAGTTATATTCATGTATTTTTGCCCTTTTTCGAAGGTAAAATCTGGCTGGGACCGACTGAAAGAAATGTAGAGCACATCACATAATTTTAATCTCGCACTGCGTTCTCGATTCAAGGACTCACCTGAACGTCGGCGACATGGACTCAGAGCCTGGTGATGTCGGAGACAGGTTGATGTGATTACATGTTGGGTCGTCTGCGTCATTTCCTGGACTCCGATGTCCAGCCTGCTGCCTCCGGCGACTGACCGCTGTAGCCGGCGTGGATGGGACGTACATAGGCGACAACGAGCGGCTACTTCTGGACCGGAACTCACTCGCCCCTCCTCCGTCACTTCCTCGCGAGGTTGGAGACAAGGATGTACTTCGGAAAGTACCGCTTTGATTCGGGAATTTCCCATCCCGGCTTGTGACGTCACTCAACTCGCGCACTTCTAAATGGCTTGGACTTTGCTTACGCGTAGGAGTTGCCATCGGGATTTTCCGAACGTCCGTTTGACCGTCTTTTCGTGGTACCCCTTGATTGTCCCAGCTGCTTTGACAAAGTGTTCGGGGCAGTTTACGCTTGTCATGATCCATCACGCTCGACGACTGTGTGAAAGATTTGTGCTTTTCTCAGCGTTGTTGCTTTTAATGTGCTTTATCAGCCAAGACAGCGAGAGCTTTTTCCTCGTAACTAAAATAAAATTAGATAACAAATCAACGCTATGACTCAGCATTGCTCTCTATTGACCATGTCGTAGTGAGCAAGATTTCTTTTTTTGTCCAGCCTTACACTGTTGTTTTTTGTTATACTTTTCTGTTTTGGGGTTTTAATCCTTGTTTCGTGATTCCTTAATTCTGCTGCACACTCTCACATAGTGTTGTAGACGCAGAACTGACATCAGGGAATAATTTATCCTGGATTAACACCGTGACTTTCCCGGCCAGGTATAGCTCATGACGTCAGTAAATCTATCGTTTCTAGACTTCAAACCAGATATTAATTTGTGTCAACCCTGGGGGAAAATAGAATAAAACAAGGTCATGACAGGATTAGCAGCGGTACGGCAGATTTATAAGTGACCCAGAGGTAGGGGCTTTGGGGGGGGGGGGTGGAAAATATGACGTATCTGCATTGTTAAATTCTCTGGTTTATAATAGGGTTTGAACTGCAAATGCCTTTGAACTAAAATTGTACCAAATTGTTCGTGTTGATGTTGTTGCTGCTATTATTGTTGTGCCGTTGTTGTGTTGCTGCTGTTGCTGTTGTTGCTGTGTTGTTATAGTGTTGTTGTTGCTCTTGTTGTTGTTGTTTTTTATTGCTGGTGTTGCTTTTGTTCTTGTAATTTTTATGGTTGTTGTTTTTTATTATGTTATAGTGGGAATCAAAAAACAATATATTATCAAAATATTAATTCACTTCAAATATTTCATTTATACTGCTTGTATAGCAATGTTGTAGAGATTTTATCATTTCCATGTCAATATTTCTTTTTCCGAGCGGCAGTTACACTTTTAATGAGGTGTAAGGTAAACGGAGAAAAAATAACAATGATCGATACAAATTTTTATAATGATTATTAATGATCTTGATAACAAAATTAGCATAACGAAAAATCACACAACTTGTAGAACTTAAAGACATTTACAATCGAAATCGTCTTGGACCGCCACCCATTGTCTAGGAGCCAGTGGCTGGCTTCGACATGGGGCCCTCCCATAAACTGTCATTATGATTTTTGAAAATACAAGAGTTGAAATGGGAACTGGCCGTTTCTACAGGTGATTGTCTCATACTAGTCGCTGTGAAAACCGGCGCGACTGTATTGTTGATAAAGAGTTAAATGTGGAAAATATTATGTTTTATAATGTCGCTACATTGCGCTAGACCAGTGTATTCTGCAGAGGGCAGCATCTTGAGAAAAGTTCCAGAAGAGGATTGAGTGG